ACTTGATTCTTAATAAATGAATATAGTCTATACAGTTGAGAGAGCATTTTCTTTAAAGCATTATTCTCATTTCAATTAAGAAATCTATTTCAATTCAGTTCATTTCCTGAGTTAACTGATGAAAATGAAGAAGAGACTCTTTCTCTGATTATATGATTTGAGCTCATCTTTATGACTCTCAGAGCATAGTTTATACAGGCCTTTTCAAATTGAATAGTAGAAGATGAAATTGAGACTTCAATTTTCATTGCTTTAATAGAAGATGTTTTGAATGCTTTCAGAATTCTTCTCAAAGCTCTGTTTTATAGACTTTGAAACAGTTCAGTGAAGTTATCTTGATTATTTCATCAAACTTGAACTTCATAATCAGCTACTGAGATAATACAGGCTATGTATAACTGTCTCATAGCCTGAAAAGATAGACCTCTCTCAGTATTTGATAGTCTGATTATACTATTCAGTAGTCTCTCTGTCTTGATGATTCTTTGTTAAATATGATATTTAAAATTCATCTTGAAGTTTAACCATACTTCTAGCTATTTGATATTCAAACTGGGTTTAATCTCTTTATTCAGAAGAGTTAGACTTAGTTCTTTCTCATTAAATCTGAGAAAAAAGTGAATTAACTCAGTTTTATTCATATTAAATTGAATTAGATTGATATCTAGTCTAATAAAGATTTTCTTTACTACTTTCTCAATCACTTTTAAATTCTCTTTGATTATCTTTGAACTGTAGAGTAGATTAATATTATCTATATAACTTAAAGATCTTACTATTTTCATATCTTTATTCTTAAATAGATATGTAGTGTATATTATAAATAAAATAAATAAGATTAAAGATTCTTACAGTACTTCTATTTTTATCTCAGTTTTATCTCATTTTCTTTCATCAAAGAATAGTTATATAATTCTTTTAAATATAAAATAATTAACTCATTTTATTAGAGAAAGTGATAGTTTTAATATCTTCAAAGTTTGAATTATTATAGACTTTGAAACATGATTAAATATATCTTTTATATTAATAAAAACTGCAGTTGAGATCAGATCTTCATACTTTATTACTTAAATATTATAAATAACTGAAAGAATAATTTCAATCACAGAATATTATTTTCTATCTCTTATTTATTCATTAAATAGAAGAGAATTATTAATAGAGCTTATAAAAGATAATCTAGTAGCTATTATCTTTTCTAGAATTTTTTTTAAATAGTTTAATAGAGATATTACTCTTTATCACTTAGAAATTGAAACTTTTCTATTAAATTTTATAAGAATTACTTCAGAAGCTTCTCTTCAGTTTTCAGAATAATAATTATTTTTTAAGAGATTGAAAAAGAGCTTAAAATATTCATTCTTTAAGTAGAAATATATATTTTAAATAATTAAGTAATTAATTGAATTAGATCCTGCAGCAGTTTTAATTTAACTTGAGAATATTATTAACTCTAGTTTATCATATATAAGCTCAGATTATTCTCAGTTATTTTTATCAATATATTCATCAAATGATATATTCTTCTCTTCTAAATATAATAAGTTTTAAAAGAGAATTTTTATAAAAGCTTAATACTTTTTCTCAAAAGAGTTTGCTGTATATAATTTATTCTGAAATTTATATTCTAAGATTAAAAGCTTTGCTATACTTCTTATTTTAATATAGTTAAAAACTTTAAAAACTTCTTTTTCTTATACTTCTTTAAGAAATTTGTTTCAGTAATCTGTTTTGACTCTTTTAATATCTGAAAAATATTCATTTTAAATAGTTTTAAACTCTTTATTAGATATTAAGTTATTCTTTCAATCTCTCTTAGCAGTGATTAATTACTTTCTTTTAGAAGTAATATTCTTATTTTATCAAG